GTAGCGATGCGGTGCATTTAGGCATCTGCACTGCATGTACTTGCCGGATGTCCTCATTGATTTGTTTTCCGTACATCTCAAAGCATCGGCTCGTACTTGCTGCTCGTCATCGTGATTATGGCGAATCTCCAGGTGTGTAGTGCGTTGCAGTGCGGTAATGCTAGATTATTGCATTGGCTCGTATGCGGTGCTACTAGTCTTGTAGGTATTGTAGGTCATGGCGCATCATCTCCAGATGCACACTCTTGCACACTGTTCATGATTATCGGCTTGTATGCGCCCATCCCTTATCTGCCTGTACAGGCGTACGAACTTGTACAGTCTTGTACCTGTTATAAGCTCGTTGCATGTCTCGTTCTTAGGCATCACAGCCGCATTCCCAGGCAGCTGTAAAAACCCCTTTCTTGCTTCCTCCCTCCCTCCTGTCGCTTCATCTTCCCATAACCATCACACTGCATCATGAGTCATCACAGTCCATCATGAGTCATTACACTGCATCATGAGTCAAGTTGACTGAGTCAACTATAAAATCTCCCTCTTGCTTCCCTCTTCCTCGTGTTGCCTCTGAAGACCCACCACAGCCGCATGTCTAGCGGCAAACTAGAGGAGAACCTGGGGGTACTGCTGGTGAGTGCAGGGATGGGTAGAAGAAGTAGTTCTTAGTGCATACACGGAGAGGTAGTGTGGATGCTTACAGCTAGCCTCACTGTGTGTCCCCGCACACAAACCCATCACAGCCGCATGTCAAGCGGCAAACTAGAGGAGAACCTGGGGGTACTGCTGGTGAGTGCCAGCGGGAGTGGGTGCTGTAGGTCGGGAGGAGTACCTCCAAGGAAGAGTATAGCCCCATACTGGTCGCGCCATGTCAAGCGGCAAACTAGAGGAGAACCTGGGGGTACTGCTGGTGAGTGCCAGGGGGGCGGGGTGCTGTAGGCCGGGAGGAGTAGGCCAGGCCTTCATCCCTGCATTCAGCTACAGCTACAGAGAGAGAGAGAGAGTACTACTTGTGAGTAGCGAGAGAGAGAGAGTACTACTTGTGAGTAGCGAGAGAGAGAGAGTACTACTTGTGAGTAGCGAGAGAGAGAGAGTACTACTTGTGAGTAGCGAGAGAGAGAGAGTACTACTTGTGAGTAGCGAGAGAGAGAGAGTACTACTTGTGAGTAGCGGAGGAGAGGAGGAGTAGCGAGAGAGAGAGAGTACTACTTGTGAGTAGCGAGAGAGAGAGAGTACTACTTGTGAGTAGCGAGAGAGAGAGAGTACTACTTGTGAGTAGCGAGAGAGAGAGAGTACTACTTGTGAGTAGCGAGAGAGAGAGAGTACTACTTGTGAGTAGCGAGAGAGAGAGAGTACTACTTGTGAGTAGCGAGAGAGAGAGAGTACTACTTGTGAGTAGCGAGAGAGAGAGAGTACTACTTGTGAGTAGCGAGAGAGTAGCAATTGCGCTCTTACCCTGGACAGCCACAGCCTGATGAACACAGTTTCACAGTGGAAGACCTCGTCTTTCCCTGTTTCAAGCATCCCTCCCCCCCCCCCCCCCCCCCTTCCCCCCCTTTTGCTATGGCCCTCTTGACCCTCTATACCCACCCAGAACACACCTCTGTGCCTCTCGCTCTTGCATGCCCTCTTGCATGCCTATCACAGATTGACTTCTTTCATCTCTACGGCCGCAGCCTCAACACTGCAGATGTGGGGGTGTCGGCGCGACATGGGGGAAGGTTCTTCCTCAAGAGAGACAGAGGGTGAGTCAAACTGGTCAATGGAAGTCAACGCGACTCTATGGTCAGCTTCAGGCAGTGAAGACTCAACACTGCAGACGTGGGGGGGTGTCGGCGAGACAGGGGGGGGCGATTCTTCCTCAAGAGAGGTAGAGGCTGAGTGAAAGTACCAGTCAATGGAAGTCAACGCGAGTCAGTGGTCAGCTTCAGTCAGTGAAGACTCAGCACTGCAGACGTGGGGGTGTCAGCGCGACACGGTGGGTGATTCTTCCTCAAGAGAGACAGAGGGTGAGTCAATGTCAGTCAACGCTAGTCAATGTTAGTCAACATTGACGGTGATTCAAGCTGAGGGTGAGTCAATGCTTCGTAGATGTTTTTCCTCTCTCTCTCTCCTTGGCGATTCAACGGGCGTGCAGCTGATTCCTCTTCGTTGTTCGTCTCAGTCAATGCTCCTCGATGTCAGTCAATGACGTTCAATCAATGTCAGTCAATGTCAATCAATGTCAGTCAATGTCAGTCAATGTCAGTCAAATGTCATTCAATGCTGTTTAGTGCTTGTCAAGTCAACCCACTCGTTCTTTCCCTCTCATTGTTTTGCATCCCCCTCATCCCAGCATGCTGCAGCAGAATCGCTTCAACAGAAGATACCCAGATGCATTTTAGCCATTTGGGCCGATCCCTCTCATTTCCTTGTATTCTATGCTTCCATGCCTCGTTCCCCCTCCCAGCATGCTGCAGCAGAACCGCTTCATGATGGCGGTAGAAGACCCTCAGATGCCTTCAAACGACCTCAGCAGGGGAAGCCACAACATTCACAATGTGAGCGAGCAGGGGGGGAGAGGGGGGGTGGGGATAAGGGGGAGAGGGGGGTTGGGAGGTTAAGAGGGTAAAGCATTCGTGATGGCGGTAGAAGACCCTCAGATGCTATCAAGCGACCTGACCAGGGGCTGCCACAACATTCACAATGTGAGTGAGCAGGGGGGGAGAGGATACTAGAGGAGGAAAAGGGGAGTGGGGGGTTGGGAGGGAAGAGGTGGAGCATTCGTGATGGCAATTGAAGACCATCAGTTGCCGTCCGACGACCTCAGCAGGGGCTGCCAAAACATTCACAATGTGAGTGAGCGGGGGGGAGAGAGGGGGTAAGGGGTGGGGGTAAGGGGTCTACACAGCGGTTGGAACTTGAAGCATTCGTGATGGCGGTAGAATATCCCGAAATGCCATCCAACGATCTCAGAGGGGCAGCCACAAGATTCACAACGTGAGCGACCAGGGGGGGGAGAGGAAGGATGGGGGATGAGGGGGGTCTGTGGTGTGCTTTTGAGTCAACTCAAAAGCAGGGGGGGGGAGGGGGGGATGGGGGATGAGGGGTCTATGGTGGTTAAAGCATTCCTATGGCGGTAGAAGACCCCCAGATGCATTTATGATGGCGCTAGAAGGCCCCCAGATGCCCTCAAACGATCTGAGCAGTGGCAGCCACAACATGCACAATGTGAGCGAGCATAGTTTTGAGGCGCCTCAAAACTAGCCACAACATGCACAATGTGAGCGAGCATAGTTTTGAGGCGCCTCAAAACTAGCCACAACATGCACAATGTGAGCGAGCATAGTTTTGAGGCGCCTCAAAACTAGCCACAACATGCACAATGTGAGCGAGCATAGTTTTGAGGCGCCTCAAAACTAGCCACAACATGCACAATGTGAGCGAGCATAGTTTTGAGGCGCCTCAAAACTAGCCACAACATGCACAATGTGAGCGAGCATAGTTTTGAGGCGCCTCAAAACTAGCCACAACATGCACAATGTGAGCGAGCATAGTTTTGAGGCGCCTCAAAACTAGCCACAACATGCACAATGTGAGCGAGCATAGTTTTGAGGCGCCTCAAAACTAGCCACAACATGCACAATGTGAGCGAGCATAGTTTTGAGGCGCCTCAAAACTAGCCACAACATGCACAATGTGAGCGAGCATAGTTTTGAGGCGCCTCAAAACTAGCCACAACATGCACAATGTGAGCGAGCATAGTTTTGAGGCGCCTCAAAACTAGCCACAACATGCACAATGTGAGCGAGCATAGTTTTGAGGCGCCTCAAAACTAGCCACAACATGCACAATGTGAGCGAGCATAGTTTTGAGGCGCCTCAAAACTAGCCACAACATGCACAATGTGAGCGAGCATAGTTTTGAGGCGCCTCAAAACTAGCCACAACATGCACAATGTGAGCGAGCATAGTTTTGAGGCGCCTCAAAACTAGCCACAACATGCACAATGTGAGCGAGCATAGTTTTGAGGCGCCTCAAAACTAGCCACAACATGCACAATGTGAGCGAGCATAGTTTTGAGGCGCCTCAAAACTAGCCACAACATGCACAATGTGAGCGAGCATAGTTTTGAGGCGCCTCAAAACTAGCCACAACATGCACAATGTGAGCGAGCATAGTTTTGAGGCGCCTCAAAACTAGCCACAACATGCACAATGTGAGCGAGCATAGTTTTGAGGCGCCTCAAAACTAGCCACAACATGCACAATGTGAGCGAGCATAGTTTTGAGGCGCCTCAAAACTAGCCACAACATGCACAATGTGAGCGAGCATAGTTTTGAGGCGCCTCAAAACTAGCCACAACATGCACAATGTGAGCGAGCATAGTTTTGAGGCGCCTCAAAACTAGCCACAACATGCACAATGTGAGCGAGCATAGTTTTGAGGCGCCTCAAAACTAGCCACAACATGCACAATGTGAGCGAGCATAGTTTTGAGGCGCCTCAAAACTAGCCACAACATGCACAATGTGAGCGAGCATAGTTTTGAGGCGCCTCAAAACTAGCCACAACATGCACAATGTGAGCGAGCATAGTTTTGAGGCGCCTCAAAACTAGCCACAACATGCACAATGTGAGCGAGCATAGTTTTGAGGCGCCTCAAAACTAGCCACAACATGCACAATGTGAGCGAGCATAGTTTTGAGGCGCCTCAAAACTAGCCACAACATGCACAATGTGAGCGAGCATAGTTTTGAGGCGCCTCAAAACTAGCCACAACATGCACAATGTGAGCGAGCATAGTTTTGAGGCGCCTCAAAACTAGCCACAACATGCACAATGTGAGCGAGCATAGTTTTGAGGCGCCTCAAAACTAGCCACAACATGCACAATGTGAGCGAGCATAGTTTTGAGGCGCCTCAAAACTAGCCACAACATGCACAATGTGAGCGAGCATAGTTTTGAGGCGCCTCAAAACTAGCCACAACATGCACAATGTGAGCGAGCATAGTTTTGAGGCGCCTCAAAACTAGCCACAACATGCACAATGTGAGCGAGCATAGTTTTGAGGCGCCTCAAAACTAGCCACAACATGCACAATGTGAGCGAGCATAGTTTTGAGGCGCCTCAAAACTAGCCACAACATGCACAATGTGAGCGAGCATAGTTTTGAGGCGCCTCAAAACTAGCCACAACATGCACAATGTGAGCGAGCATAGTTTTGAGGCGCCTCAAAACTAGCCACAACATGCACAATGTGAGCGAGCATAGTTTTGAGGCGCCTCAAAACTAGCCACAACATGCACAATGTGAGCGAGCATAGTTTTGAGGCGCCCCAAAACTAGCCACAACATGCACAATGTGAGCGAGCATAGTTTTGAGGCGCCTCAAAACTAGCCACAACATGCACAATGTGAGCGAGCATAGTTTTGAGGCGCCTCAAAACTAGCCACAACATGCACAATGTGAGCGAGCATAGTTTTGAGGCGCCTCAAAACTAGCCACAACATGCACAATGTGAGCGAGCATAGTTTTGAGGCGCCCCAAAACTAGCCACAACATGCGCAATGTGAGCGAGCATAGTTTTGAGGCGCCTCAAAACTAGCCACAACATGCACAATGTGAGCGAGCATAGTTTTGAGGCGCCTCAAAACTAGCCACAACATGCACAATGTGAGCGAGCATAGTTTTGAGGCGCCTCAAAACTAGCCACAACATGCACAATGTGAGCGAGCATAGTTTTGAGGCGCCTCAAAACTAGCCACAACATGCGCAATGTGAGCGAGCATAGTTTTGAGGCGCCTCAAAACTAGCCACAACATGCACAATGTGAGCGAGCATAGTTTTGAGGCGCCCCAAAACTAGCCACAACATGCGCAATGTGAGCGAGCATAGTTTTGAGGCGCCTCAAAACTAGCCACAACATGCACAATGTGAGCGAGCATAGTTTTGAGGCGCCTCAAAACTAGCCACAACATGCACAATGTGAGCGAGCATAGTTTTGAGGCGCCTCAAAACTAGCCACAACATGCACAATGTGAGCGAGCATAGTTTTGAGGCGCCCCAAAACTAGCCACAACATGCGCAATGTGAGCGAGCATAGTTTTGAGGCGCCTCAAAACTAGCCACAACATGCACAATGTGAGCGAGCATAGTTTTGAGGCGCCTCAAAACTAGCCACAACATGCACAATGTGAGCGAGCATAGTTTTGAGGCGCCCCAAAACTAGCCACAACATGCGCAATGTGAGCGAGCATAGTTTTGAGGCGCCTCAAAACTAGCCACAACATGCACAATGTGAGCGAGCATAGTTTTGAGGCGCCTCAAAACTAGCCACAACATGCACAATGTGAGCGAGCATAGTTTTGAGGCGCCTCAAAACTAGCCACAACATGCACAATGTGAGCGAGCATAGTTTTGAGGCGCCCCAAAACTAGCCACAACATGCGCAATGTGAGCGAGCATAGTTTTGAGGCGCCTCAAAACTAGCCACAACATGCACAATGTGAGCGAGCATAGTTTTGAGGCGCCTCAAAACTAGCCACAACATGCACAATGTGAGCGAGCATAGTTTTGAGGCGCCTCAAAACTAGCCACAACATGCACAATGTGAGCGAGCATAGTTTTGAGGCGCCCCAAAACTAGCCACAACATGCGCAATGTGAGCGAGCATAGTTTTGAGGCGCCTCAAAACTAGCCACAACATGCGTAATGTGAGCGAGCAGGTGGGGGAGAGAGAGGATGGAGGAGGAGGATGGGGGAGACGCCTTCAAACGGCCTCAGCAGTGGCAGCCACAACACACACAATGTGAGCGAGCAGGGGGGTTTTGTCGTGTTTTCTTTGGAGTTAGCATTTTGGGTGCCCTCACAACCCATCACTGAAATTTTACGTGGGCTTCAGAGCCAGCCATTAACATACCCAATGTGAGTGAGCAAGGGGGGGGGGGGGGGGGTCCGTAGAGAGGTGCCTCGAAACTCAAAACTTGCATAATGTGAGTGATTAGGGGTGAGGTGGTGCGGTGCGGTGGGGTGGGGTAGATTTGTTTTTATCAATTGTTTCCACCTCCTCCCCCAATCATTGACTTTTGAGGTGACTCAAAAGCAGACTCTAACCCACCCACCCCCTCTTACAAAGAGTTGACTTTTGAGGCGACCCAAAAGCAATCTCTAATTTTGAGGCGCCTCAAAACTAGACTTTTGAGGCGACCCAAAAGCAATCTCTAATTTTGAGGCGCCTCAAAACTATACTTTTGAGGCGACCCAAAAGCAATCTCTAATTTTGAGGCGCCTCAAACTAGACTTTTGAGGTGACCCAAAAGCAATCTCTAATTTTGAGGCGCCTCAAAACTAGACTTTTGAGGTGACCCAAAAGCAATCTCTAATTTTGAGGCGCCTCAAAACTAGACTTTTGAGGCGACCCAAAAGCAATCTCTAATTTTGAGGCGCCTCAAAACTAGACTTTTGAGGTGACCCAAAAGCAATCTCTAATTTTGAGGCGCCTCAAAACTAGACTTTTGAGGCGAACCAAAAGCAATCTCTAATTTTGAGGCGCCTCAAAACTATACTTTTGAGGCGACCCAAAAGCAATCTCTAATCCACATTGACATTAACCAACCCCCTCTTGCAAAGTCCCCTTGTTTGCACCTCCTCCCCCAATCATCCCTTGCTTCACTCGCTCCTCTCTCCTACCCTCTCTCTTTGCAACACCGCAATTGAGGCGAATCAAGAGCAGTCTCTAACCCACTCTCTTTGCAAGACCGCCTTGCCTTTCTGCGAGGTCGCTCCTCCTTCACTCCAGCTTGCAAAAAGTCACTTCTTCACTCAATCTTCTTGCCTTTATTCCCAACCTCCCTATTCCGTCACACTCCCCCCCAGGTCCGCCTCACCTTTCAAAGAGCGCACTTCCTCCGCACCTCGCCCACTCTCCCCTCTTCTTGGCACTCCGTAGCTCTTCACCCAGCCTGTTAGATCCTCCCATCTCATGTATGGTTACAAGTACGAGCCACCCACTCCTCCCTCTCTCCCTCTCTCCCTCAACCCCCCCCCAGGTCCGCCTTGCCTTTCAAAGAGCGCACTTCCTCCTCACTGCACCCACACTCCCCTCCTCCCTCCCCTCCTCCCTCCCCTCCTCCCTCTCCTCCTCCCACCTCTCCCACTCACACACTTCCCCCAACCCCAACTCTAACGGTAATCCCACGGATACTGCTAGTGAAAGCAAGAGTCTGCTGGCTCGTTTGATTCGGCTCGAGCCAGCCATAGCAAACCGGAAGCCGCCTGCCAGTGTGTTGCCCTCTCCACCAGTGCATAATGTGGATGCACCGTCTCTGCTGCAGAAGCAGGAGTTGAAAACGGTTGATGCTGCTTTGACTGACGCTACTCCCAAGGCTAGTTTTCTTGCTGGTGCTACCCTCGCTGCTACCGCTCCTGGGCCTATCAGAGGGAAAAAGAAAAGGGCGGCGGCGGCTGCTGCTGCTGCTGCTGCTGCTGCAGAAGTGGTAGCAACAGCAGGTGGAGCAGATGGGGTAGAGGAAGAAGCAGCGGCAGCAGCAGGGGCAGCAGCAGGGGCAGCGGGGGTTGGTTTGGTTGGAAAGAAGAGAAAGAAGCGGGGCGATAAGGAGAGGAGAGACGAGGAGGGGGAAGAGGAGAGGAGAGAGGAGGGGGGTGCAACTGAGAGAAGGGAGGATAAGGAGGGGGGTGGTGGTGCGAGGGTGGAGAGAGGAGAGGAGGTGGGAGTGGAGGGTTTGGGTGGGGAGAGGAATGAGAGGAAGGGAGGGAAAAAGAAGGCACGAGTGAATGACAGGGAGGATGAAGTGAGGGAGGAGAGGGAGAGGGAGGAGAGGGAGGAGAGGGAGGGGAAGAAAGGAAGTAAGGAAGAGGGGGAAGAGAAGGAGGAAGAGCGCTTGGAGAAGCAAGGACGTAAGGAAGAGAGGGAAGAGAGGGAGGAAAAGGAGGAGAAGAAAGAAAGGAAGCAAGAGAAGAAAGAAAGGAAGGAGGAAGAGAGGGGGGAGAAGGAGGAGGAGAAGAAAAGGCGGGAGGGTAGCGAGGGGAGGGAGGAGAGGGGAGACAAGGAGGAAACGTTGAAGGAGAGTGAGGAGAAGAGAGAAGAGGAGAAGAGAGAAGAGGAGAAGAGAGAAGAGGAGAAGAGAGAAGAGGAGAAGGAGAAGGAAGTAAGGGAGGATTTGAAAGAGCAGGTGAGGGAGGGAGGGGCAGAGGGAGGAAGACAGCAGGAGCTTGAGATGAAGGTGTCTTCTGAGTCGACTCAAAACCTTGAGATCAACAAGAAACGAAAGAGGGAGGGCAAGAGAATGAGGCAGGAAGCTCGGAAAAAGGCAGCTGGAGAAGAAGGGGGGTTGAGAGGTCCTTACTTGGACAGTCCTGGTGGTGCTCTTGAGTCGACTCAAAAGCTGAAACGGGCAGCCGAAGAAGAACGGGGGTTGAGAGATCCTGACTTGGACAGCAGTGGTGGTGCTAGTCGGGGGGGCAACGTTGTCAGTATGGTAAAGGGTTTTCAAGGGGAGGAGGCGAAGAAGAAGGGGGAGGGGCGAGAGGGAAGGAAGGAGGAGAGCGAGAGTCAGGGGGTGGTGATAGGGGTAGGGAAGGGAGTGAAGGGAGGGAAGCAGGATGCTTTTGAGGCACGTCGAAAGCGAGACGGAAGGAAGGCGGATGGGGAGAGGAAAGGTGGGGTGACGAGTGTGGGAGGCGGGGAGGAGGAAGGGGAGAACCTTCCGAGAGGGGGAGGCAGGGCGAGCAGTGCAGGTAGGGATGATGAGAGTGAGGGGGCTGGGAGGCGGAAGGGTGGGGTAGTAATGCCGGTACGGGTAGTAAGACGTGGGGAGGAGGAAGAGGAGAATCTACCAAGAGGGGGAGGCAGGGCGAGCAGTGGTGCTGGTAGGGATGATGAGTGTGAGGGGGGTGGGAGGCGGAGTCGGAGGAGGGGGAGGAGGGGGCGGGCGTTTATGGAGATGTTGGGAGCAGGTGGAGGGGAAGAGCGCGTCTGAGTGAGTGAGACCACTGCGATCTAGGCTTTTGAGAGACCCGCTGAAGTTTGAGAGGGTTGGGTTGGGTTGGGTTGGGTTGGATGCAGCACTAAAAGTCGAGTCAATATTCGAATGGACTGGGGCATGGTAGGGAGGGAACAAGTGGTCATGGTCCTGGTGGTTTTATTTCTGCTGGATTATCTGTCCACTTCACTTCAATATTGCATTGCATTCAATATTAGTTGGATTCTCTTCTTGTGTTTTAGCCCTATCAGGTTCTTGATAACTCGGCTCCATGTTGTGTGTGAGACGTACCATAACTACCAGACCATCTGAGACACTGTTCTCAAGGGTTGTTTGCTTCCTCTGCCTGCACGTGCATCTCAGTACCTGAGTTGCCTTGCTCCTCCCTAGGACTTGCATAACTGCAAGTGGTAACAGGACTGGGAGATTCATGGTGGTAGGAAAACTTATGGTACCGGTAATTTCTAATAAAAATAAATATCAATCCAACACACTAACAAGAAAACAAAACCCAGGCACAACTGGAGTGCATAAACTATACACTCTATGTCGGAGGGAAACGTGGAGGGGTCAAATCAAAACTTCTAACGGAACGCTGTTTGTATCCCAAGGGACAGCCGGAAACGGGGGTGGGGGGGTAAGGAAAGGGGCACAGGGAGGAGAGATGTGAGGGAGAGGGAGGGAAGGTGAGGGAGGGGAGGTGTGGAGGAGGGGGAGGTGTGAGGGAGGGAAGGTGAGGGAGGGGAGGTGTGAGGGAGGGAGGTGCAAGGGAGGGTGAGAAAGGGGGTGTGGGGGGGCGAGGTGTGAGGGAGGGGGTGTGGGAGGGGGGGTGAGGGAGGGGGTGTGGGGGGGCGAGGTGCTGGGGAGGGGAGGTGCGAGAGAAGGGAGGCGTGAGCCACCCGGCCACCTGCTGTCAAGCTGCTGCCTGCAGCTGCCCTGTGGCCGACTGTTCCTGCAGCAGCACCAGCAATTCCTTCGCCTCGTCCCCCCTGAACCACCAGGCCTACGAGTCCGACTCAGCCGTCAAGCTGCCGTCTGCAGCTGCCCCGTAGCGGGCTGTTCTCGCAGCAACACCAGCAATTCCTTCGCCTTGTCACCCCCCCAACCCGATGCAGCACTAGCACAACCTTTTCGAAACCCTAGCCGCCTAGCCGTCAAGCTGCTGCCTGCAGCTGCCCGGTGGCCGACTGCTCTCGCAGCAGCACCAGCAATTCTTTCGCCTTATCCCCTGCCGAACCTGTCGCCTCGCGGGAAACCCGGTGCAGCGCCGGTACAACCCCTTCGCGGCCAATCACCTTCCTCGCCTCCTCGTCATGCCTAGCCAATAGCAGCAGCGCGCTCACCGCTTCCTGCCTTGCTTTCTGCGACGAAGTCAAATCCAACACGTCGGCAATTACCTCCAACCCTCCGTTTCCGTTCGCGGATTTCGCTTCTTTGATCGCGCGCCGCCCTGCGGACGAGCACGCGATGAACGAAACCAACGCCATGGCTCGATTCTCAAGATCCTCATTTGCTTCCTGGACCATATTGAGCAGAATGTTTAGCCCGCCAGTGTTTAAAAACTCCTGCAAGAAATCCCGGTGGTGGTCGCCGCCACTTAGCAAAGCGAGAACCGCCAGCACCGCGTCAATTTTCCCGCGGGTGCTGCCCAAGAGGAAAATTTCAACAAGGGCAGGGATAGCCCCGGCCTTGGCGATTCGTAGCTTGATTTCAGCTGTCTGCTCCCGGGCCTTTTGCGCCGCGGCATCGGCGGAAGGGGTGGCGGATTGCGACGGGGACTCCGACCTGGCAGGCGCATTACTCTGCGCCGCCTCTCCTGCTGTAGCCGCTGCCGCCTCTCCTGCTGTAGCGCCTGTAGCGCCTGCAGCATCTGTAGCACCTGTCGGCCCTGCAGCTGTTTCCCCTACTGCGGCTACACCGTCGGTACCCCTTGCTGCTGCTGCCGCTGGGCTCTCAGACTGGCTGGGACTGCTGTCGACACCTGAAAAAACACCTGAGAATTCCCTTGAATCCTGGGGGGAGCGCAGCAGCGCGGTAGAAGCCGTGGGGGACTTCAAAGCTGGCGAGGGGGGGAGGGATGACGTGTAGGTTGATGACCTGGCTGACAGAGGTGGTGACGTAGACAAAACGCCGGATGACGGGGACGGAGCGCCGGTTGACGTGGATCGGCCCCTCGTCGGCCGCGACGGAGATGGCCCTCTTGACCCCCGTCCGCCTTTCCCGCCGCCAATTGCGCCGCCACTCGCGGCCTGGATGCCCCACGCAAGGCAGAACAGCGCAGCCGCCGCATTTTCCCGCGCAGCCGCTTTCTCCGCCCGAAGCGCCTTAACCAGCGCCTCCAGCCCGCCCTCCGCGCCGCTAACTATCGCGTCGCGTCCGCCCTCCTCCCGACACACGTTATAAAGCACCGTCACCGCGTGCTCGACTGTTTCGGCGTCAGGCGACTCGGCGACGAGATTAACTAAGAACTGGACCGCGCCAGCTTGAATGAATCGCTTCTTATTTTCCGGGGTCGCCTTAATCGCCGCCCGAACTGCCTTCACCGCGTCTCGAATCGCGGCGACGTCTCCTTCTCCGATCGCCGAGACTAGCGGGCCGAGCCGAAGCGGCTCGACCAAGGGAGCCGGGGCAGCGGCGCGCTGCGGGGAGGGGGAGCGCGCGTAGCGGCCAGAGAAGCTTCCGCTTCCCCCGCCAGTCCCCCGGCGGGGGGGACGGCGGCCGGGGGTGCTGCTGGCGACGGCGAGCGGGCAGAAAGCGTACATGTCGGCGTTGCTTACGGCGGTTTTCACGCCGTAACTCTCGGGGCTGCGCTCGAGCGACGCGGAGCGCGGTCCGGAGGAGGAGAGCGGGGGGTGAGCTGACGTGAAGGTGTGGGAGCGTTGCCGAAGCGCGTCGAGTTCCGCAGATGTAGAGTTGTACGCGTGAGCGCGGATGCCAGTTACGCTTCCCAGGGAGTCGTCGCGGCGCGAGAACTCGTTGCGATGCGACGGCTCGAACCGCGCGGAGAGCGGCGACACGGGTAGCGGCGACGCGGCGAGAGGCGATACGGGCGCATCAACATTACCGTTGAAAGACTGCGAACGGATCTGCAGCCCTTTCTGGTTCCCCGCCGCTGGACCCGCGGCTGCGTCCTTGCGCGACTCGGCGCCGCGATTCCCGACGCGGATCACGCCGCTAGAGCCGCCGCCGCTGCTGCTGCTGCTCCCGCTGGTGACGTTAATCTCCGCGCTAACATTGCGGCTGCCGCCGCCGCTACTGCTGGTGGTGGTGGTATTAGTCGCGCTGCGGCTGACGTTGCTAGCACCGGGAAAAGCGCGCAGGTTCGGCGTGGTCTTGGAGAGCGGGGAGGAGAGGGGCAAAGGGGAAGCCGACGGGGAGGCGGAGGGGGACGCGGAGGGGGAGGGGGAAGGGGAGGGGGAAGGGAAAAGCGAAACGCGACGGGAAGAGGCGGCGAGAGAAGCGGAGAGGGGGGAGAAAAGCGGCGGGATGCAGGAAGGGGTGGTGCTAGACGTAGGCGTGCGCGAGAATGACGCGCTGTACGCGCTACTGAGCGACGCGAGGTTCTCCTGGCTGGTAGTATGGCGGTGCGCGAAGGTTGTTTTGAGCGGAGGCAAGCGCGACGCGAATACGGAGAGCGAGCACGCGACCTGGCCGGTGGGGGAGAGCGGCTCGCCGTCGTCGTCCTCCGCGTGTCGCGGCGGAGGAGCCGCGGAGGAGGCCGAGGCTTTAATCATCGAGAGAACGATTCCGACCGGGCCGGCAAACGGCACTCGACGGCGGCACGGCGACGCGCTTCTCGCCCGAGATGAGCGGCTCGTCGATCCAACGGCGCTGCTGCTTCTGCGGCTTTCCTCCCGCCCGGTCCGAGCCGTGGATCTCGCCGCAGATGGCGCCCTGGGTGTCGCCGCGGATCGAGACTCGGAAGAGGAGTTCGACCGCCGCAAAACGTGATGCGCAACTATTGACGGTGACGCGGAGCGCAGAACGCTCGACCAAGAGCGTTGCGGGGATGCGGTGCGGCGATGCTCTCTCCTTGAAGACGACCCGCACTCGCCGCGCGCACCAGTCGCCGTCGCCGTCGCCGGCCAATCTTCGTCCTCGTCGCCAGCGCCGGCACCTTCGCTAGCCGCGTCGTCTCCGTTGCTGTCGTCGTTACTGTGTGCGAAAATGTCGTCGCGAGGAGCCATCGGCGCGCTGTGCAGGGCCCGGGCCCGACCCTCGCACGGCAGCGTTCGGCTGCGACGGGACTCCGGCTGCGGCGTCGGCGATGTAACAGTTACCCCGTCGGTACTTAACGAAACCCCTTCGCGAAACGAACTGCTGGTTGAGAAAGTTGAGAACGAAAACTCGCTCGCGCTGGAGCGGTCCACGGCACTCTCGCTCCGCCCTATCTCCCGTCGACTCCGCTCCGCCCCACTCCGCTCCGCCCCACTCCTCTCCGCCCCATTCCCGCCCCGCTCTTCCGCGCCGCCCCCGCTGCGCTCTTCCGCATCTCCCTCCCATTCCCGCGGGCCCCGCTCCGAATCGAGCGTGCGGACCTGGAATAGGCCGCGAGAGCGGCCGTTGAAAGACTGCGTCGGACGAGATCCCGGAGTAACGGCCTTAGCTAGCGGCGGTCGCGGCGCCGGATTTCTCGGTAAATCCCGAGAAGAAGTATTACTGCTGTGGCTTGGGGAACGGAAAAAATCGGTAATGGCTGCCGATGCATTCCAATTCCGTTCGTCGAGGGACGAAGATGAAAGGGTGGTGGATATGAACGGAGCCGCGGGTTTAGGTGAAGAAAGTGCCATGGGTAGTCAGGGAAGAACACGACAGCTGGGCTCCTGGCGAAGTATTTACAGCAAGCTCAGTTACTGCGACGCAAAGATTAGTTGCACTGTCTGTGTGAGAACGAAGTCAACAAAGCAGGAAGCATCTGCTCGTGTCGAGAATGTTCGATGTCGGATCCCTAATGTTGCTCTGCTGGTCTGACTTCGATTCAACTCTGGGAGGTTCGTGCTAATCAGTGTGGATGGCATTCGCGTCCTGAAAGCGGGAAAGAGGACTGGCTGGTCTGGTTTGGTTTGGACTGGAATCTGTCAGTTGGAAAAAGCAAGCTCGGCATTGTAAGCATGTCCTTTAACGCGGTAAGACCTTCAATAGGCTTGGCTGGCTCTCTGCTTTCATCGCTGTCGGCCGGTTGGCAGGGGACGGAAACGGGAGTGGAGCAGGAGATGTAGGGAGGGACAAGGGGCGGTCATGCAGCGAATCCGGGTCTCGCAATTATGCCTCTAGAAGTGTCCCAGTGGGGTATTTTCGAGGACATTTAGCTAAGAGTCGTTCAATCTTGAAGAACTAGTGGACTCCTTGAGGCATTGGAAATTTGTTTCCAATTGTTTGAGATTATAGATGCCAAGCCGGTTATTGCGGTCGAGGCGCTCCGACAAGATGCTCCCTCGGTGCAGTACAGTACTAAAAAGCTGGGAAGATACTTTCTCTGTACTCCGCTGACTGACAAACAACCCCCATCCTTCACCCTTGAGTGTTTTCTGGACCTGCTATATCCCCTTCCGAAATACACCGAAACTATTACTCACCGAAAGTCAGCTCTCAAGGAAATTGTTCCCTACCAGGTTATACAGGTACCGCACAGTATCTGCAAATCAAGGACTGACTATTCGTAATATTCCAGCACATACGTCTATTCTGGAAACATTTGTGGTGAGGAGGTATTATCCAAAACACAGCATCATGAAGGAAGACCTTGCCCCCAGTTGATCAAGGGAATTTCTAAACGCACGCTGTATGGTTAGCTGGCAGTGCTGGCAAACTCTCCAATCACTGTGCTCTGGATAATCTAGAATTGGCAGCGTGACGTGGCCGACAATTGACAACATGAAAGAATTCTGCTAGCTGCCCAGCCCAGCCAATGTGATGGGCGCGGCGGACGCTCTGACGAACGCATCTGCTTGTCGATTGCGGGAATCTCATGAGGACGAAATGCTGCCTGTTGGATGGCAGCTTTGGCTGCTGCTGCCACAAGCAGCAATTTCCACCTTTAAAAAACGCGTGACGTCAAAACGATTTGCGGGCCATCTGGGACCACTATTCCAGCATGCGACAATCACTGCAATTGGAATCTCAAAATGGTCTCAAATCAAACCGCAGCTCGCTCAGAGCATATGGCGGGTTCAAGGTGGAAAAAGTTGGAGTGCTCATATTTTCACTATTTTGTATTTATATTCTAACACAATGTTTTACAAAGATTATGGTCTATATGCTTGATAAATATTATGCTGATAAAACTTCATATTACTGTAGTAAAATCGTACTGACGCATTTCTGTAAGTATTCCAGATAGTTATTGTCGAGTTACACTGTAGATAGCATCCGTAGAATGACGTCAGCAAATAGCGCCCATCTGAATGGTTACGTCAGCAAGTCGTTTCAGTCACGCGTGTAATAATTTGACAGGTGTTGCAGGAGATTAAGTATAGAATCTGCAAACACGAACACTTGGAAAACCTCAAGTGTTGCCTAGGATCTTTACTGGAATGGTAGACTAGTAAGATGGCGAAAGTCTTAAAAGATTGAACCTGAGTACATGAACATGTGGGTAGTCGAAGGTTGAATAACCTGAGCACATAATTCAGTGGAAAGTCAAGGTTGATAATAGAAAGGCATTACAAGGATTTATAGTTATAGGGAAAGTACCTGTTCGGCGAGTTGCGCGCTATGCGACATATTCGTCATCATATAGGGTCGCGACAGTTCGCGTCACTGAAACGACTCGTTACGCATATTCGCGTAACTGAAGCGGTATGCTGACGTCATCCCCGAGACCCGCGATGCCTTGCTAACATCAGCACTCGTGCATGGATGCTTACTGAGAAACTAGATACCGCTAGCTACACTGAAAACGGAACTTGCAGGAATGCAAAACTTCATATATCACAACAACGCGAACAGTCCCGCTCTTTTCATGAGCAGTTAGAGCGCATAGCGCAAATAGCTTGAACAGGTACATCACCGAATAGGTACTTCTAACAGATGTAAAAGTCGCTTGTACTGTCAAACATGTGTATTTGCCATGTTTGTATAGACTGTATAGGGTCACCTCTTAGAGGGTACAACACTTAGGTATATCTGTGTGTACTCTCACTCTACTATCATTCACTTCTCTAATTCTGATATGGTATCACACGTAGGTTAGGATCTCCCCCCCCCCCCCCACCTACCGCTTCTGCTCGCCCCCCCTAGCTCGGCCCCGCCGCGCCTCCCTCCTAGCCCCGTCGCGACCCCCCTAGTCCCGTCGCGCCCTTCCTGGGCCCCGTAGCGCCCCTCCTGGGCCCCGTCGCGCCCCTCCTAGGCCCCGTCGCGCCCCTCCTGGGCCCCGTAGCGCCCCTCCTGGGCCCCGTCGCACCCCTCCTAGGCCCCGTAGCGCCCCTCCTGGGCCTCGTCGCGCCCCTCCTGGGCTCCGTAGCGCCCCTCCTGGGCCCCGTCGCGCCCCTCCTGGGCCCCGTAGCGCCCCTCCTGGGCCCCGTCGTGCCCCTCCTGGGCCCCGTAGCGCCCCTTCTGGGCCCCGTCGCGCCCCTCCTGGGCCCCGCCGTGCCCCTCCTGGGCCCCGTCGCGCCCCTCCTGGGTCCCGTAGCGCCCCCCCTGGGCCCCGTCGCTTCCCCCCCCCCTGGGCCCCTCCTGGGCCCCGTAATGCCCCTCCTGGGCCCCGTAGCGCCCCTCCTGGGTTCCGTCGCGCCCCTCCTGGGCCCCGTCGCGCCCCTCCTGGGCCCCTCCTGGGCCTTGTCTTGCCCCTCCTAGGCCCTGTACCGCCCTTCCTGGGCCCCGTAACGCCCCTCCTGGGCCCCGTAGCGCCCCTCCTGGGCCGCGTCGAGCCCCCTCCTGGGCCCCGTCACGCCTTCCAGCCCCGTCGCACCCGCCCGGCCCCGTCGCACCAGCCCGGCCCCGTCGCGCCCGCCCGGCCCCGTCGCACCCGCCCGGCCCCGTCGCCCCCTGCCCGGCCCCGTCGCAGTCGCCCGGCCCCGTCGCACCCGTCCAGCCTCGTCGCGCCCGCCCAGCCCCGGTGCGCCCCTCCTTGGCCCTGTCGTGCCCCTCCTGGGCCACCGTCCCGCTCGCCCGGCCCCGTCGCACCGGCCCGGCCCCGTCGCACCGCTCGGCCCCGTCGCACCAGCCCGGCCCCGACGCACCCGCCCGGCCCCGTCGCACCAGCCCGGCCCCGTCGCGCCCGCCCGGCCCCGTCGCACCCGCCCGGCCCCGTTGCACCGGCCCGGCCCCTGCGCTCGTCCCTGCCCCGGCCCCGGTCCTCCTCACTGGTACGGTTCTCCCCCCCCCCGCCCTGCACTGCCCTGCACCGTACTGCCCCGCACTGCACCGCCCCGCACCACACTGTACTGCCTGGCACCGCACTGCACTGCACTGTACCGCACGGCACCGCACTCCACCTTGCTGCACTGCCCTGCACCGCACTGCACTGTTCCTGATGGCGGCGGAGCTTCGCTTCGACGCTGAAGGCCAGCCTCTGGAGTTCGAGGCGTGGCTTGCCGACCTCCGCCGCCAACTCACTGGCCAGCGGCAGGATGGTGAACCGCTTTCCGCACACCTTGACGGTACGCTCCCCTGCCCAGACCCCCCTGCTATTTTGCCCGCTGACTCCACCCCCACTGAGCGCGAGTCTACTGCTGCCACTGCCCGTGCGCGCTCTGTCTGGCTTTCTCGCGATGCTGTCGCCCAGCTTGCCATTAGCAACGCCCTTCCCCCGTCCGAGCGCCCTCGCTTTAGGTCCCTCACCACTGCTCAGGCATACTTAGATGCAGTCATCCAGCGCTATTCCACCCCTCCGGCTGCCTCGGTGGGTCGCCTGATCCTCCCGATGCTCTTTCCTGACCTTGCATCTTTCCCTACTGTCTCTGACCTCGCTGCCCACCTGCGCTCGATAGATGAGACCTGGTGTCACAGGATCGAATGTCCCGAGAAAAGGTTTGCTCAATGTTGCACTATCAATCAGTACAAGGTGCTTTTATACTTCCATAGTACATCAGGTAACCAGGTTTATCCTATCCAAAGGAAATAGACCCTTCTAGAAATAGAATCACCATGCGTATAGCCACGTGAGGCCATTGGCTATAAGGGATTACTGAAGGATTACGTTAGATATAGCGCGCCAGTACATCCCGAGCCCGGTCGGTGATATAATTATAATAACAGGATAAACCAAAGGATAATAGAAAAGGAGGAATAGGAAACCAAATGAGATGAGATCAAGAGCAAATAAATCAGGAGTGAAAGAGGAATGAAATAGAAAGGAAATATGGAAAGGGGAAAATAGTGTAACGGGGTCGTACTCTCACACTTCCCCCCCTCAAAGCTGGGTGGTAGAAGTAACACCCTGCTTGACAAGGTAGTCGCGAAGAGGACGACGGGCGTTACCCATGTCGGATTCAGAGACGCAGCCTCAGAATTATCATAACCCTTCCAGCAAAGAAGAAGCTCCAGAGTGCCATTCTGATGACGACAGTGTCAAAGCACGTAGTTGTCCCATGTCGTGGATGAACACGGGCGACGACGGTGGTTGGCATTCGGTGTAGAGCGTGTTTGGTCTTGATAGGGTTTAAGAAGCTGGTATGGAAGGTGGTATGGATCTTCCAAGTGGCTGGTAAGCGGAAGAGGAAGGTGAATGAAGTGACCTTTGCTTCAAAGAGGATAGTCCCGCAGAAGCAAGGTTGATGCTTGGATGGAAGCTGGCTGATGTCGAGATTATGGTGTGGATGACTGTAGTGATAAGTGGTCAAGTGCTTCTGCTGCTGTTGGATATCCAAGAGGTGCTTGTGTGGTCGATGTACAATATGGTGGACGATGGCGATGAAATCGGAAGCCAGTTGGACTATAGCAAGAACTGTCTATTGCTACGGAGTGAGCAGGCTCCGTCCATAGTAAGAAAGGATGGTGTGTATCGCCCGTCAGTGATATATGGGGAGGTGCAAGTTGTAGTATGAGTGGTTGGAACAGTGTGCTGTAACGTGCAGATGAATGG